CACTCATCTGAAATTATGACGTTGCTATAAGATATAATTTGCTGCAGAGCTCTACATCAGCTTTTCCCCCCTCAAATGTAATAAAACATTTCTTCCACTTGATGGCAGTGTGTGCGTTCGTACCGTCCAACAGGAGGTGGGTCTGCATCTGCGGGAGCTCTTTGAAGTTTGACTCATCTCATATTCAGTCGTCTGACAGAAGCAATGAGGTGAAGCCCTTGATCTCAATTATAAGTACTGATGTAAAAATTATATAACAACTCAGACAGCTAGATATCAGAGAGATTGAAAGAGAGAAAAAGAGAGAGAGACGGTGGGAGGCTTTGGTTAAATTACAAGTCAGATCAAAGAGAGAAAGAAGGTGAGCGAATATGTCCAATGAGCCAAAAGGCAAAATGACACAGTGCACATTTTCGGAAAAAAATTATATGGAGAACAGGACGCCTCTGGGTATCTTTGGCTGTACTTCCACATTTGACATTGATGTTAAAAATGACACAGGATGTCTTTCTCCTTGAATTTTTTGGGGCATCAAGAAAAAAAAAATGTTTTCTTGACGCTCAAACAGTTGGGGCGAAGCAGCTGAGGCAATAAGATAACAACTCCAAAATACGATTCACTTTCTGTAATGTAGCATTAAAGGATTTGATATGTTTACTGTGGCACGTGCTGCCAAGGAGACAGAAAGACAGAAAGTCAATTTTCTCAAGAACTCCAGGCATTACATATCTTTGAAGTGCTGCAGCTCCTCAATGAATTGCTTGCATACTAAAATGAAAATGTATTGAAAATTTTATGCGATACATCATTGCCCTTTATTCAGCACATTTCTTCGGGGGGGTGGAAGAAGAAAAAAATAAAATAAATAAATCCTGGCCTCGCAGCATATTGTAAGTCACGATGGAATCTCAAGGCAAAGGCAGGTGTATTGAATTGAGGAGATTTTATTGACAACTGTTTGGCCCTGTTGTGCTGATATTTCAAATATGAGGACCACATAAGGTTGTGAAGCAGTCACTCATAAAAGTCCTGTGAACCAAAAGGGCAAACTGAAAGCCAAAAGGCTGGGAATATCTGGCGCGTATTTGTGTGTGTGTGCTGTGAGTAAAGGGAGAAGGTAAAAAAGCTTCAGACGCAATCAATAACCGAGAATGTGAGGGTGTCTGCCCACATGTGTGTGCAGAGCAGGGAGGAGGACTGCAGAACGATGACTAACAACTATGGAGAAATTAGATGTGCATCATTCACTTGTAATACATCTCAAACAGAGTAGAAATATGATAATTATTGCATCATACGTGTGTTTTGACATTTATTAGAGATTTCTCTTCACTCGTTAATATAACACTGGTGAATGCTGACCACCATAGCCTCTCCGGCCAAAGAGACACAGTCAATGGAGTGGGTTTGCAACATTTTTTGATTGCTTCATGTCCATATGTCCATGGTTGTTGGATCAGTCACTCATGGATTTGTTGAAAAGGGATTCCCAGGGCACTTCAGATCTATGGAGAGATGTTTGCAGCTCACTGACCAGCCTCGAATGCATACCAGCTCTACTTCTCTCAGTTCAGTTGGCAATTAAGCCAGGCTTTGAGGCACCAGCCTTCCAGTGGCACACCTGTTTTGCATCCGGGAATCATGAGAGGCTTCAAGGCTCAGGTGTCCACCAGAGGCAGCCATTTCCCCATTGCCAACAGGGAATTTGTAACAGCATTGGTTAAACACATCCATCCATCCATTTTCGATACACCGCTTAATCCTCATTAGGGTCACGGGGAGGCTGGAGCCTATCCCAGCCGACTTAGGGTGAAGGCAGGGGACACCCTGGACAGGTCACCAGTCCATCGCAGGGCCACACGTAGAGACAGACAACCAAGCACACTCACACCTACGGACTATTTAGAATCACCAATTAACCTCAACATGTTTTTGGACTGTGTGGGAGGAAGCCGGAGAACCCGGAGAGAACCCACGCTGCACGGGGAGAACATGCAAACTCCACGCAGAAAGATTCCGGTGCCCCCACCGGGACGCCAACCGGCAACCTTCTTGCTGCGAGGCAACAGTGCTACCAACTGCGCCACCTTGCAGCCCCCTAAGAATGGGAGAAGGCCCTATAGGGAAAGGGTCATGAGCGAGATTTGAACTCATGACCTCCACGTTGGGACTGTAGCCCTACACATAGGACGCCAGCTCAACCAGGTGAGCTACAGCAGCAGCCTGCGTTGCTGCATTAAAATGATTTTAAAAAATAATAATCATTGTAAGGGTGGCGCAGTTGGTTAGCACTGTTGCCTCCCAGCAAGAAGGTTGCCGGTTTGCGTCCCGGTGGGGGCACCGGAATCTTTCTACGTGGAGTTTGCATGTTCTCCCCGTGCAGCGTGGGTTCTCTCCGGGTTCTCCGGCTTCCTCCCACAAGGTACAAAAACATGTTGAGGTTAATTGGTGATTCTAAATTGTCCGTAGATGTGAATGTGAGTGTGCTTGGTTGTCTGTCTCTAAGTGTAGCCCTATGATAGACTGGCGACCTGTCCAGAGTGTCCTCTGCCTTCACCCTGAGTCAGCTGGGATAGACTCCAGCTCCCCCGCGACCCTAGTGAGGATTAAGCGGTGTATAGAAAATGGATGGATGGATGGACGTTCTCAAGGAAGGCGGCGGCAGGAGTGACCAAACCAGAGACTCTACCTCTAACAGAGGGTGCAGCTGCACAGCGTTCACTGCGTGCCTACCTGCAGACCAGGGACTGGATCCTCCTACAGAGCAGGTCTCTGATCCCCAGTGACTATGGTTGGACATTAGGTGTGCATGGGTATGAGCCAGGTCCAACACTAGACCCCATGGCTCCTGAGGAGCTACTGAAGTTGACGAGCTGTAATTGTCATGGAGATTGCAGCAACCGGCAGTGCAGCTGCAAGAAGAATGGAGTCACGTGCATCTGGGCCTGTGGGCTCTGTAAAGGCATCACATGTAGAAACTGCAGTCATGATGTTGTTGAGTCTGAAGAAGGCATAAACAATGACTCTCGAAGCTTCTGACATTGTGAATGAGAAATAACTGAGTGTTACATAAGTATGTGAAATAAAAGCTGCTGTGAATGTGACAGTGAGTGTGGCCTTTTT